TCAGATGAAAGAAGAAGGCAGCAAGGGACTGGAGCTCATCCTGCCCCGGGTCCTCATCCGGGTCAAGATCCTCATAACAAAAGGATGCTGCCCGCGCAGTCCCCAAACTTATACGGTCACCTGCAGTCTCAACTGAAACAGCTGCAGATTCACCTACTGGAGTAGATGAAGGTGCAACACTGGGGGGAACTGCAGTCCCCAGGGTCTGTTTCAGTTTTTTTGACTGACTACCTGGCATGTAAGGGCAGTCCTTTAGGAAGTGATGTCCCTCACATCTCAGGCAAACCCCTCTCTCCTTTCTTCTTCTCCAAACTACCTCCTGGATCTTGAGGTCATGCCAGGGGAGTGTGGAGGGATTGAGAGGTTCAGCTGGCATGCGGACGTCTCTGGGCAGGTTAGGGCGCTGGGAAGAGGAAGGCCGACGTCCCTTTTCCTTCCCCTTAGCACTGCCTGAGGCTGTGGTGGGAGAGAACTTTTTCTGCAGCTGCAGGGCTCCCAAAACAGCCTGAGTCACGACTGCTGCAACATCTGTCTCAGCAGCAGATCCAGTCCCAGCTGAAGGTATATCAGCCTGGGAATCTGAATCTGATCCTGAGGCAGACCCTGCATGAGTGAAGGCTGCCTTTCCCTTTCTACCACCTCGAGGGAAGGCACCTTTCCTCCTGTCAGAGGATGGGGCCTGGACATGGAGCTTAGCCTCCATTCCCAGGGCTGCACGGCCAAAGGACCTCCAGTCCTTGTGCTCAGCACTGTAAAGAGCAACAACAAACTTCTCAGGCGCTGCCCTGCAGAAGTTGGTCAACAAATCATCAGGGCTCATGACCAACCCAGGGGTGGAGGTGAGTTGCTCAAACGCTGCAAACAAGGCCTGCAAAGTCCCGTTGTACCACTGCTGTCCCAGGCGAGCAATCCTGTCAGCGACCTTGCGGGCCCGCTCCTTATCTGCAAAACGGTCCTCCAGGGCCTGCAGAAGTCTGTCCACCCCCAACCCAAAAGCCCAGTCCTCCATGGACTGCTGCAGACTGCTGGAAGTTGAGGTGGCCCACTTCAGTGCGGGTCCCTCCAGCAGTCCCAGAACAGTTGCCACCTTGGTCTGTTATGCACAGACGAAGCCCCTCAAGTAGGCTCGGGTCCCAGCAGCCCAGTCCCCAACATCGGTCTTGGGGTCATCGCCCCTAAACTTGCTGGGAGCAGGGATCTTGGGACCTCTCTGGTCTCCTGCAGTAACAACAGCATAGGTGGCCTTTGCTGAGGCCTTTTGGGAAGGGGTGGATGACCGGGAAGAATGTACAGAGCCAGCATGAGATGGATGTGGAGAGGAAGGGAGTGAAGAATGAGGAGATGATTTGGGCTGGAGCAGAGGGGGCTGAGGAGTAGTCAGCTTGGCGGCTGCCAGCTGAGCAGTCAAGCCCTGAATAGACTTTCGGATCTTAGTCTGCTGAGCTGACAGCTCGTCAACCCGACGCTCCAGCCGCACAAAATGATCATCCCAGTTTGTGAACTGGGAGCTGGTGATCTTGTGCTCCAACAGGATCATCTCTGCCATGTGCTTAGTGATCTGGGAGCAGCGATCATCAGTGAGCGACCTTTCTAGCTGCGGCAACAGATATTCTCTCCTGGAATGATCTGTTGCAGCCTTTAGTTCAGCAGCCTCCTGTTGTTCCACTTCTGCAAGTCTGGCCTGTTGCTGCCGCAATTGTTCTTCTAACTCCTTCAACCGCTGAGTAGCAGTCAGAGGTGGTGAAGGGGGAGTGGAGGCTGAAGGCTGTTCACCTTCCACCTTCATCACCACTTCCACCTGTGGCTGGTGCTCAGTCCCCTGCTCAGACATTTTCCCAGTTCAGAATAAAACCAACAATAAAATAAACAACAGCCGAAGTATGCAGCGATAATCAGATTCCTGCAGACACACTGGAATCGCTGCAGAACTCAGACACTGGAGTAGGTGGGTGAATAGGCAATCAGCAGGTTGGGTTAGAAGGGTGTCTCTGGGGTCAGGTGTGGGACAGACTGTAAGTCCAGCAAAATCAGCCACACGATTTCCTTTTACTGACCCTGGACCACACTGGAGTTAACACAATCACTCCACTACTTTTCCAGAGACCCACTGGAATTCCAGAGCCCACTAGAAAACAAGTGTCATCAGTGGGAATGATCGAAAATGGTTAGTACAGACAAAAGAGGTCAATCACAACAAGCGATGCAGACAATTACCCTGTTACCTGACTCAAACTCAATTTTAGACCCGGATGACTCTGGCGGGGCCATACCCTAGGGTATGGCGAAGTACAGTATTCACTGAATCCAGTGAAATACTGCAAATCCACCTTTGTGATTCTACAATATAGTCTATTTTTGGATTGCGATTCACTGGGGACTGACAAAACTGAATTCTGACGGACAGAATTGAAGTTATGACTGACCCTAGGTAGCACAGGCTAAAAATAGACTCAGATCAAAACAGCAATTTCACAGTATCACTACCTTTCCAGTACATAATTCACTGTTGGAACATCCCAGATCAATCACAATGCAGTATAGCAGTCACAAAACCAATTTGGACCAGAAAGAGTCACCAAAGGGAGGGAAATGAGCAGAGAGAGGTAGGGGAGAGATGGCTATGGTTGTCTTGCAGTCTGCGATTTTCACATCCAGTCACTGACAGACAAGTAGACCATTACAATTCACTAAACTAACCCTATCTGGATCGCAATACAGGTAGGTGCATGGAACGGACTCACTTTCTGAGAATCTTGCAGGTGATGATGAAGATCTGGCTATGGCTGATGATACCCTCTTCTCGCCAATTTCTCCCAGATATTCCTCCTGATGATCCCACGAGCAGAACCTCCTCAATTTTGTTGATCCTCCTCAGGATCCTGTAGCGCTGCACCCCTTCATTCGAGATACCCTGTATCTGGTCCTGTGGCGCCCAATATGCCAACACCAAAATATCTCGCCACAGTGCCTAGTAGCCGCTGATGCTAAAAATAGCCCCAGATGGGGTTCTCTCTCCAGGAGATTGATACAGACTGTCAATCTCCCTCAGCGCAACGCAGGGATGATGCCGCTCAGGGTTCCCTGATGTCCTCAGGGGTAATTCGCCACTCTGGGGTAATTCGCAATACTACCCTCAGGGTTGGCTATGGCGAATTGGCCCTGTACTCGCCACTTCCAGACAAGCGCCTTGACAGGCTCAGTACGCTTGCTCAGTGCACACACTGAACACCTGAGTCCACCGGTCTTCTTCCCTGCTGACTCAGTACTGGGGAAGATGAATCGCCATGAAACTCTCGCCAGTATGTCGCCAGATGAAGAAGATGCCTCAGTGCGCTCAACACTCAGTGCTCCAAATCCAATCTCGCTCCGATATCAACTGTTATGAACTTGGTTGTCTGGCGAATTTTCTCGCCACTCACACACAGACAGTCTCACACATGCCCATACATGCATAAGAGAAGGGGAGAGAGGAGACAGAGTCCAAACTGCACACAGG